TGGCTGGTGTGGATCTAGGCACAGTAGCCAGTAAAGAGCCTCCAGACAGAGTGCCCACCCTTGCCACCTCTGAAGAAGTATCAGCAGTCCCCATCTCTCAGCATTTCCAAGCAAGCTTTCAGCCTTTCCCAGTCATCCAGTCTGTGTCAGAGGAAGAACTTGTTTTATTTGGATCACTCCATCCTCCAAGCCTGGCAGCTGATCTAGAAGCTGTGTCAGATACACAAACCTCAACCCTGCCTTGTGTCACTTGCGATCCATGTACAAAGAAAACCTCTAAAAACTGTGGGAGACGGGTTTACACAACTCTGATACTTCCAGCTGTCCTGCAAGAGCTGCTTTCAGTTCAGCACGCACAAAAACCAGGGGCATGAACAGTACCAACGCTGCTCAAACGCAGTGCCCCAGAGCAGTAAAAATCAGTGACTTCGGCAGCGATCAAGATCTCCTCCCGCCCAGGGACTCGTTCCAGCCCTTCTGCAGTGCAGCATTTTGCTGACTCTTCCTAGGAAACTCTTGGGGTACTAAAATAAAGATGGACTTTACCTTTTGCTGAAACCAGCGCATGGCTTCTTCCTTCCCAATTCTGTGCTTGGCCCCAATGTTGCCAGTCCTGCGTTTCTTGTCAGCAATGCTGAAACCAGGCCTGCCCAGCACCTGCCAGCAGAGGAGACCAACAGCACTATTTCATTTCGGCATTTCTTTATTTTCTTAAACCTGACAGTTTTCTAGGACACAAGGCTAGCATTTCCACATCTAACGTCTCATTGTCCGCGTCCCATTCCAGACTGAGAGCATTATCCTCTACAGCCTCAGCGTAAACTGAAAACTAAGTAAGCTTTTAGCAGCCAGGTGAACTGTCAGGGACAGAAACTCAACACACACACTGACCCAGAGAAACCAAAACCACTGCGCAAGAGTCACTATTCCACACCCAGAGGCCTCAGCTCTTAAGATACATGGCACAGCATTGCTAAACACGCACGGAACAGCTTCCCTCTATTCCAGAGATTTCGAGTGAGGCACGGCAGAACGGAATGACTCAAACACACCAGCCACCACCGCTGCTCCATGACCCATCCCCAGCCCTCTAAACACAAGGAGAATCTTCCAGGATGCAGCCTGTCTTCCAG